TTGGCTCCCAGAGTCGTTCCCACTGGTGCAAGGAGCTCTCCAGACTGGCTAAGCAAGTCTGCAAGGGAGCCTCTGTCCACAAGTATTTCAGTGGATCTGCAGGATGTGGTGAACTCCTATAATAGACTGATGGCCACAGCTGCCTCTGTTCTAAGCCAAAGTGCCTGGAGTCTGCAGTGGGCCCAGGAATCCGCTGGCACCAAAGGATTGAAGGGTTCTTTTGCCTTTGTGAGTAGAATCTCCCATGTGTCTTCTGTCACTTCTGCTGCTTGGAAAAAACAAACAAAAAAAGCCCAAACCCAGGACTCAGAAATGAAAAAAATGAAATAAGTTTTTCGGTACCGTGATAGGTGTGGAGGAGCTATTTGGGAACCTGATCAGTTGGTACGTTCCTACTTCTATTAAGCTGCTCTGTTACTCACACTGAGTGCTGGATTCTGCTCAGATGTCTGATCACTAATTAATTACCTACTTGTTGAGCAGGTTGTGGAGGAAAATAGAGTGCTGTTGGTCAGCCTGGTTGGTGTCTGGGTCTGAGGGATGTATTTACATTACATTGTCATTGTGTAGTCATCATGTGGTACATTCAGATGGGACTCCATTAAAAGGCTTAAAGTATCTTTAATGATGACCAAAGATTGGCAACAAATCCCCAGATGTATATGTCATTGGATTCCTTGCCTTGGGCATAATTCAGTCTGGTGTGATTGTCTAAGAAAGTCATGCAGACTAATGAGACAGAAGGGATTGGAAGGGTCATAACCATTCACCTGCCCAGGGCAGGACCAGCTGGAGTGTTGATGGTTAAGGTTTGTCAGGTGGTTTGTGGAGACCTGTCTGCTCCAGGAGCCTGGGACTCGTGTTCCAGTGTGTTACAGTGCTCTGTGCATTCACCAGTTGAATCTGTCTGAGGGATGCAGGGATCAGAATTATTGTTAGACTCTACTTTTAGCCTCGTGAGAATCAGCAGACAGGTAGATGAGCAACCAAAGAGGTGTTCCTGGGAGGGGAAGTTGTGTAGTGGCAGTTTGAGCCCAGATCCACTGTGGACTAAGGCTGGGTTTGGTAACTGCTCAGCACAGCTGTACATGTGGACCAGGTGCTGCTGCTGGGTGGGCTTTGGTGCTTTCAGCTGTGTGACACAACTGGGAGCACTGCAAACAGTGAAGGAAGGAGCCAAGTCCATAAAAATGTGAAGTTTGCTTGTTTTGTTGCTCCCAGAAACCTTTTAAGTTCCATCATGTGAATTGAAATTGAATACTGTGGAGCTAAACATGATTGGAGACAGACTTTTTGTCTGGTAGGAAACTGGTGATGTGTAATGAATGTTGTATCTGGAGGTTTTCCATGTGAATGGTTCCTGCTTGTTCCCAGGTTTTGACTCATTTCTAGAGTACGTGTTTCCTGCCCCAAACCTCTTTTAACCTAGAGATTTGTATTTCTGTTTTTCAGTGATTATCAGTAATGATTAAAGAGAGGAGCAAGTGTTAGCATGGGATGGATACTCAAACCCTAGTTCTCTTCTATTTCTGAGAGTGCATTTCCTTTTGCTTATCTCTAGTTTGGCCAAACTCAACTTATAAGAAATAGGAGTATTTCTGTACCTGAAACAAAGACCTTTCTCATTCTGCTTTCTGTGTCAATTGAAGGCTGAAAATCCATCATGTTCTGGTGAGAGAACAGTTCATGTTCTAGCTGTTGTTATCTGAAGGTATGAGTGTTCTTTTTGTGGAATAGTACTCTTAGTTGACTAGGTAGTATTTCCAGTTCCTGAAGTGTTAATTATTCTGTGGAGATATTTTTTTTGCTGGATTATTTTTATTTTTCCTCTTTCTGTCGGTGCAGTTGCTGGACCTGGAGACTCTGGTTGCATTTTACCAGATGCAGACAGATCCATCAACAAGCACTGTCATGCTTGGAGAATTTGCCTTCTTGCCCCTGACCTTGGCGCTGTTGCTGCTGGAAGGAAAGATTCAGTAAATAGGCTACAGTTAATTTATACTTTTTCTGGGCTCTCTTGTGAGTGATTGTGTTAATGCTAATGGATTCAATGAGCTTTTGTAACACAGACCAGTGTGAGCAGTTCTGTTTATGAGACAGACACTGGAATGGTAATATTCCTTAGTTTCTGTCTATACTTTCTCCCCAAATCTGGATGGATTACAGCTAGTTTCACACCAGCCACTAGGTGTTTTTTTTCACAGGATACTTTCACACCATATTTAAAGTAAGATTTGAGTGTTGTGCAATATTAACTCCTTCCCTGAGCCCTGCAGATGATCCCTGCAAAAGATCCCCTGCCTCGCTCTGCACTGGGCATTTCACAGACAGTTCTCTTCAGAGCAAAAACTCTAAGGCAAATAACTAGTGGGAAAAATTTCCTGAGCCCTTTGAACTGGGCAGTGCAGTTGCCACGGTTGAGATGTAGGACCATTTCTTGATGTTTACAAAGTTCTGTGGTGTGTGAGGTTACAGGGAGATCAGAGTGAGAAGATGTGAGAGGCTCTCAGCAGTGCAGAGGAGACCCCTGGGTGGGACGGTGATTCCTCCCTCTGACTGTCTGTGGCACTCTCGCTGCAGAAATGGCTCTGCTCCCTGCACAGCAACTGCTGAGCTGGCTCACACTGCAACCAGCTCATTACTGAACACAGGCACACATTTCAGGGTGCCATAAAATGCCCTTTCAGTGGATCACTGCTGGTTCAGGAACAGCTGGCATGACCTGCAACTTTTCTAGCGCTGGTTACTCACGGTTTGGTCTCTTCATCTCACAAGTCACTCAGAGGAGTACACAGATTTGTCTTGGGTGGGTGAATTGTAAGGGTTTTTTCCCTGCTTCATTTCCCTCAGTAGGAAGTCACAGGTGACACACTAAAGCTGGTAACATGGTGACAAAAGCTGTGCTGAACTCGAGCAAATGATATGTCCAGTTTAATGATGTGATATTCAAGAGTCTCTCAAGTCAAGAGACTCTAAGTGTGGGTGTGAGGCAGAGGTAGTTGGCATGAAGGTATCACTAAGGCTGTGGTTTGCTGCTGCTGTTCCCACTTAACTTTGAAGGAATCTCATCATATTCCCACAGCAACTTTTTGAAGCGTGTGTGGAAATTTGAATTAAAATTTTGCTTTCCCCAAATACTTACTTTGTTAACCAAACGTCTTGGAGCAGATTATGGCATGGTTTGTTTCAGTTGACAGCACTTAATCCCGATTCATTTGTGCTGTTCAGGGTTTCACTGGTGGACAATAAAAGGTACAGTTGAGGGCACATCAGGGTTTGGCTGCAGCCGAACATCAAAGCGGCAGCGTTTCCCCAGCACGTGCAAGGGCTGTGTTACTGGGAGGTCACTGCTGGCTCGGGCTTTGAAGTGTGATATCATACACGGCCTCTGGAGGAGACACAAACATTTTGTGGATATTTTTAACCCTGTGTTATTAACTGTATTTTGTGTAGGTAAAGCTGTGCGTGCTGGCACAGATGTGGAAGCTGGGGTTTAAGACCTGACCTCGCTCTTTGCTTGTCATGTGTGTCAGGCTTGCCTGGCTGTGTGTCCTGTCTGTCACTGTTGCTTTCTCATGTTATAGCTTGAGACTCTGCAGTAAGATTATCTGAGAAGAAACTTGTAAGAGGGGTGTGCTCAGATTTGTCTCTGAATTCAGTTTTACTGGTCCATTGGCTGTCGGGGGTTTCACCTCTAAATCTCCTCCTACTTGACTTCTCTTATCACATAACTTGCATTTCACAAAGCTGGTGATCCTGCAGTGTAAACTTTGGGATTTATTGTTTTCCTTGGTACACAAAAATGCGTCTTGCTTGGGACAAAAAAGGTGGGAGAGAGAATCCCGTCATCAAGCCATGGCCTAAATTCTGTTTAAATTCCTTTGCCTGACAGTTCTTGGGTTGAGATTAAATTTTAAGGAATTAAAGAACTTAAGATTTGGACAAGTATAATTTGACTATCACAAAATGGTTGAGTTTGGAAGGAACTTCTGGAGAAACCTCTTGTCCAACCCCCTGCTTCAATACAGGTCAGGTTGCCCAGGACAATGTGCAGGTGCCTTAAAGCATATAAATAATATATAAGAATACAAACAATTAATCCTCATCCTCTCAAGGTTTTTTAAAACTACTTTTGAAATATATTTTAAAAACTCCTATGTCTTAAGAAGGTATTTTCAATGTTGAAATTTTGCAGCTAGTTTAGAGCAGAGTTTTGTTTAAGTACATAGAACTTTCTAAAGCTGTAGCTGTGCATGATGTTACAGTGTACCTTAGAAATCTACACAAATCTCTTAGGAAATAATCCTGCTCCATATTTATTGTTACCATCAGCTCATCCCAAATTCTGGGTAGTGTGTGTGTGTTAGGGTTATACATTGTTATCTCACACACACACACACACACACGTGGATCAGTGCAATTTGTGAATTCCCCTGTGTGGGGTATGGTCAGGAAACAAAAAGTGCCAGTTGTTGTGTTTGCTGGTTTGCTAATAACATGAAAAACACCTTCTCAGAGGAGAAATGTCAGTGGCTCTTACTTGATATAAAGAATCTGTCCTTGTGCACATACAGGTAACACATTGTTTCTGAAGGTACAGGAGACGTGGCTCCCTGTGAACTTGTGTATGTGGGGAGATGTATTTTTCAACTGTTTTTTGCCCCTGTTTTTCCACTCAGCAGTTTTTCCTGGTTCTTCCTTCTGGAAGCAAGCACGAGCTGTCACTGAGCATGGCTTGTCTGCCTCCATGTGAGAAGCCCCACAGAAAACACCTCAGTCAGACACAGGCTAAATGAAGGCAGAATGTGAAATCAGTGTCTACCTGTGTTACTGTTTTCTGATACTCACTGCTGACACCAGATTTACTCTGTAATGCCTGGTGGCTTGTTTAATATTTTTGATTAAACAAACATCCCTGTTAACTGTTTACGTATTTCTTGCATGAAACATCATTTGTGTTGTTGAGACATCTGTTAAATTAAACTTCTGTTTTTATTTAGGTGTATGAGTTGGATGGCATCCCCTTGATTCTGGACAACTGCAGCATTGATGACAACAATCCCTGTATCCTTTACAAAAGAGTTCTGTTTTTTGAGTGTGACTCACAGAAGAGGTGTGGGGTTTCACAGGTGGGTGCCAGCACTGCTTTCACTGGGTGCCCAAGTGTGACTGGCCTCAGGACTTTATAGGTTGTGTTTAAAATGGTTCAGAAGTGAGCAAAGGCACAAATAGGCTTTCATGAGCTGGATTCTGAGTAAGTTGAATTGTGGTTATATTCTGTTTCCTAAAATAATAAATATTGCTGGTTTGCAAATGTCAGCTCAGAGAGCCAGCTGTGACAGGAATCTGAATCCAAACTCTGACTGTTGTGTCAGATCTTGGAGCCTTTGCTTCCATTGAAGCATCTGTTCAGGAGGCTGAAACAGTACCCCATCAATTCTCTGCACTTAATAAATGGGGTTGGGGAGGTTATTCTAAGCACAGAGTCAAGGCTAACAGGGTGTTGTAAGAATGTTTATAACTGAGAAAATCAATGGTGCTCATTACTGAAATGCTGAGGAGATTTTAATGTAAATGGTATTGTGCTTCATATTATCTTCTTCCTGGGGTTTAAGAGCAGAGACTTTCCAAGACAGATTGCTGTTAGAGAGAAATGACTTTATATTGAAGAGAAGCAGTTGTTAAGCAGAGTTTCCCATCTCTTGAGGCACCACACAGTCATCCTGCCAAGTGTGTTTAGTCAGGGATTCTCTGCCATCTGATCATTAGCTCTGTGTGAGTTTCTGGTAAGTGTGTCTGGAAAGCAAATGCATTTCCTGTGTAAAGTCATGTCACTTTTCTTTTACTGAACACATGAAACGGGGTTTCAAAATTAATTGAAAAGAAAAAGGTCACTTTCTAACAAATATCAAAAAAACCCACACAAAAAAAGTTGTGAAATTGGTACATATTCTCTCAGTTGTGTGCTGTGGAGCATCATCTGCATATAAATATGTCTTGAAATAACGTAGATGACAGCACAAGCTGAGTGGAGGAGCAAGGAGTGTTAAGTATCCTCTGAGTTACTCACATTATTGCTTTATGTGCACAGGTTTTACATTCCTCACTGTTCCTGTACCTGGAGACCTGGCAGTGTGGCTCTGGACAGGGCACTGAGGAGCAGAGTTGTACTTCCATGGGGCAGTTCAGAGAAGGGGCACTGCTGGATGAGATGGGAAGGGCAGGGAAAGTTCCCTTTCCCTGAGCAGAAGAGCAGCCCTGAGAAAACCTGGTAGGGAACTTTGGTCCCAAGTGACTTCTTTGCTGGAAAGCACAGCTGTGCAACCACCTCTAGAATGTCTTTCTAGGATTAATCCTTCATTTTAGCTCTTAGTAAAAGAGGATAAAGTTGGAGGCCTTCAAAGGCTAGAGTTCTAATTTACGATCTTGAATGAAATGAAAATAAAATACCCTGGGAGTCTTTACTGCATTTTGAGCGATGTGGGACTTCTTACACCTTTTGATACAGGCTGACGTTTTATGGCTGCACCATAAACTTCTTACCAGAGGATAAAACTTTGTTTACTTGGTTTTTAAAGACATCATAACACCTCCTAATGTGAGCTTTCACCACTGATCCATGGCACAGAGTGCAGGGGGATACGGGCGAGTGAGCAGCACATGGGCAGAGGGACCTGGCCTGCTGTGCCCAGGTTTGCCGTGCCCGGGTTTGCCGTGCCCGGGTTTGCCGTGCCCGGGTTTGCCGGGCCCGGGTTTGCCGGGCCCGGGTTTGCCGGGCCCGGGTTTGC